TTTCTTAAACTTGAGAATGGGCTTTGAAAGGACTTCTTAAAATAAACAGCATGATCTGCAGAGAGCTCTCACTGTTAAGAACCACTTTTAAACAGTCACCATCATTTCTGCAGTGTCTTTAGAAATGTAATTGGACAGATGGATGTGCTGGATTGGCACTGTAAGTGTCTTTGTGCTGAGAATAGTATCAATAGCTATTAATAACTTTGAAAGGCTCTCCAGATAAATTACTGAGTAGTGACCTTATAGCTAAGGAATACATATGTTGTTAAAGTAAAAATAAAGACTTACTAAGTGTTGATTTTCAATCTGATATGAATGCAGGGAATTTCAAAAGTAATGTATTTTAATTATGTAATGTTTTCTCTAAAACTAATATTAAACGCAGAGATGGTCACCGTTGTACTATTTCAGGATTTCTCCTGATGAATGTAGGAGCAACTGTACTATGCATTTGCTTATTTTATAGTTTATACTTCTTGAGGAAGGAAAAAAATGTTGATCATAGGCTCAGTAATATGCAGGAAATTTAACTATCTAAAATCCTCCCTGTTGGAAAGGAAATGCTGAATCACATTTAACAGAAGCATTTGCATATTAAAACACTTACAGTATGTTTCACAGAAGTTTCTTGTGATTTTTAACTCTAGATCACCACCAGTGCAGCCTTATTTACTGAAATTCATCTTCATTTGCCTTCCATATTTCAATATAGGTTAATTACGTCCTCTTTGGACATTACCAGGTAGGATATTCAGTCCTTTTCACTGGTCCTGCTGTTGTTCTTGCTTTGGAGGAAGAAATCAGAGGAGTTTATGTGTGTATTTCCTGTTAATTGCCCCACGTAAAGAATTAAATCCTGCAAGGGTAGGTGCCTCAGGGCAATTTCAATTATTTTTTATATATATATATAATAAATATATGTATGTTCTTCTATTTCTTGTCTCATCTTTGCAATGTGAAACTTTAAAATGTATATACACAAAATGACAGGAGAACCTTGTGTATATAAATATTCTTATTCTTCCCTTACATAACAGTAATTTTCTATCAGGAACATATTAGCAGATGCCTTATTCTGCTCTGGATTCACCTTTACAACTGAGTGCAACTTTAAATGTTTTTTTCTAAAACTTCTCCCACCTTACAAATAAGCACTGTACTACAGGCTGTGCCATCAAAACAGACATTTTATTTGTGATAGAATTAGAATCTGGGTCTTAGGATTTGAAAGACAAACGCATTAATCCCCTGAAAGATTCAGTCAGTCTCTGTCAATTCTAATCAGGTAAAGGCATTGGTCATTTTGCTGCAAAGCAGTTGGAGGGAGTTTTAATTCAGGGAGCTGGCCTTTTTATTTCAAGCTTATTTCATCTTTCAGGTAATAACGTACCCACTGCGTGTGAAGTACTGCAGGATTTAGTACACTCATATGTCCTCTTAAGCTATCACAGTTCTCTAATTTGCAGAAATCATTTGTGGTCATCAGTACCAGCTCGTAAGTAGGACACAAAATTATGCTGGTTTTGCTAAAACAGGGTGGGAGGGAGGAGGGTGTTGGAGTAGCTTGGGAGGTTTAAATTCACTCTCTTAAGTCATCTGCTTATCTTGGTTTGAAAGAGGGTATCTGAAAAGAAGCTTGGAACAAGGGTCTGCATGTAACTTAGTTTTCCGTGTAGAACACGGACAAGCAGGCTTGCTTGGTAAACTGAAATGAAATTGGTTTTGTAATACCTTCTGTGCTACAAGAATGGTGCGTGGAGCTGATTTAAAATGAAACAAGTTACTCTGCATTATCCAGGCGAGATCCTGTGATGAACAAGTTTCTAAATCTAGCAAGTTCTGGAATGAATAGTAGCATGTTTTCTGATGCCACAGTATTAGTAAAAAATAATCATATGCAGTGTCTCCTAAATGCCCTTAAAATAAATGCAAGGTGTTGTTCTTAGCACAGTAGGAATTAGAATAAACTTCTTGGCTATTGATGTGCTTCTGTTTTGCCCAGGATGTACTCCAGAATTGAATTGCCTACTGTATTCCCTCTCATACAGGCATTTTTTGTTCAAAGTGTAATTAATTGTCCTAGGAGAGGTCAGGCCCCCAAAATCCCAATCAGATAGATTCCCTGGGCACTGTGCTATGCAGTCTGTATCAGTAAGCTATGCTGTTCTTGCAAATACTTTAAGACTTGTCTCTGAGATGTGGTGGCTCACTGTCCGAAAACCCTGTGCAGAAGGAAAGTAGCATGCTGAAACCATGATGCAGGTATGGAAGCGTAATGGCAGCTCTTATGTTGTTGTCCGAGTTAAGTAAATATATCTCTTGGTTTTCTCCAGTTAAGTTCTTCAATTTGTAGTATTTGTGGAAAGTAGGTGAAAGAATTTTTTACAGTGCTGATGAAGCATGAGGCAAAGTCCGCTTGCAGCTGGGCTTTCGTAGAAGTTGTCCGTTTGTCTTTCCTTTCACCCTCTAGTGAATCCTCATTCTTCCCTCCAGAAATCTTTGTCTCCTGCCACAAAAAGAAATCTGGAATATGTCATGGTTTCCAGTTTTCAGCAAGGGGTGGTAATGTTCAACTCCTGAGTAAAATTCAAATCATCATCCTTTTTCACATTTTTCATATTGTCACTCCAGTGTTCAGGATACCATGAAACACTCGATTAGACAATCTGTCTTCTATTTTCTAATATGTCCTTGCCTCTTTATATTGCTTAGTGCAAGAAGGCTGGTAAAGCAACTGGGTCTCGTCTCACCTGCTCTTAACTCTTTGCACATTATAGTGTCTGAAGTGACATGCAGATTTGATTAAAGCATGTCACACATTGGCTATTCCCAGAGCTGTCTCTTAATTAAGAAGTGACATCTTTCTTCTTGCTTAGTGGAGGGAAGTCTTTGCCCATTACTTCTCATCAGGTGGATGACGAGGTTCTCCATTTCTCTTGTCTTTTAAACAGTGTTTTATTTTTAAATCCAGATTGGTAGAGCAGTTGCTAAAAGCAAGCAGGAACTAAAGTGTAAGGGAGATGGCAGTGTGATTTCAGCTTCAATAGGTAGCACTCTGTGAGGTCTAGAAAATGGGGCTGTTCCTTTACATCCCAAGACACTATACTGTACTATAAAGCAATCATTCTCATGTTTTACAGAGAGTACATTATATTGTAATAGAAGCGCCTGTTCCAGGGACTTGCTGAAAAGTAAGAGGTAACTAACTGTCTTCTCTCGCTTTCTTCAGTTCTGTTTCACTCCCTGTGTTTCTACAGCCAATCTGTCTGAACTTTTTGCCACTCCTCCCTGTACTCCTTGCCTTATCTCACTGTTGGCTTCTGTTGGTGGCTGCGGTCACAAGGCTGACTCCTGTCATTCTGGCAGCGTCAGCATTGTTGGAGGTTTCCATGCATTAGGATGAGTTCTCTCTTCTGGTATTAACAGCCATAATGGAAGCAGCTAGGCTGGTTTCTCTTTCTTCTTTTCCACTTCTTTTTAGGCCTCCTAACATCTTACTTGCAATGTGCAGATCAAGTATTGCTAAATGAACTGGAAGCAAGAAGAGTCAGTGCCATGCACACAGTCTTTCTGTAGATCACCATATGTGTTATTTATTAGAAATAGAGGGTCTCGTGAAATCTGCTCCTAAAATGAGGTTCTAATTTGTGATCTTAAGGGCAATGAAGGAAACGAGAAAGAAGTGGAGGAGGGGTAATGGCAGTGCTGTTCTGTACTTTCCTCATTGCATCAGAGTTCCTCATTTTGTAGATAAAAAGGGTTTTCTAACTTACCTATTAGTATGCCTGGGATCAGGAATTAGTATATGGTATAGGGGTTTTTTCACTGTCTTTGGGCAACTGTGAAGAAAAAGTTCTCTAAAAGAAACTTGTCCTCTAGGTAAGTTTGTGGGCAGCTGCACTGCTATTTGCGTTTGCCCACAAATGACTGAAGGCAGGTGGTTCAGATGTCTGAGCTTCCCAAGGAGCCCTGTGGCCCTGTGGTGCGGTTTCCATCTGAACTCCTAACTGGCCTAAGCGTCTGGAAGACAATCCAGTTAGTATTGTAGATTTGTGCAGTTATCTGAAGTATTGATACTTACAGAATAGTTACCTTTTATCTCTTGCTATAACTAGAGATTAGCCTTCATATAGGGGGGTGGGGGAGGGCAGGGGGAGAAACACTGAGTAAGGAGGTATCACTGTAGTCTCTCCCTTCCCTCCTCTGTAGCAGAGCCATCTTCTAATCCTAGATGTCACTGATTCATCAGACTAAGGGTGCTTTTTTGATACAGATCCAGAACTTAATATAGCGTATTCTGGGCCCTAGAATATGTGTAACTCTGGATCCTGTGAGTGACTGAAGGAGACTATAAATAAAACCTTTGTCTCCCATATGGCAGCACAGATTAATCTACCTAGAACCATCCCTTTAAACTCTTTTATTTAGTTGTTTTCCAGTAACTTTGTTAGTATACTGTCTGAAACATATGAGACTGACCTACATCAAATAGCAAAGCTACTTGGTTAGCATCATACAACCTATATAAAATTAATAGGAGGCTTTCTAGTGCCTAATGTTAGACTAATAAAAGCTATTCATTTTATCACTATTTTGCCAAATTTGTGTATCTTTCATTTGCAGTGGTGTTGAATATTTGCTCACGTTGCCACTGAAGTCACTTTTCATCATAAGCAAAATTGGTTTTTGTGAGATTAGTGGGTTGGGTTGGGTTTGGGCTCATGTGATTGTTTGCTTTATTGTTTTGGATTGTAGAACTGGACAATAGAACTTGCATGACATAGTGAGTCTCTGTGTGAGGTAATGTGATATAGTGGGGTTTTTTTAAAACTATTTTCTTTAACCTTCCTAGAAAGAATGAGTATTTTATGTTTCTACTATCTGATGCAGCTATTCCAGGAGAAAAAAATACTTAATAAATGCAATGCTTAAAATGATGATGAACTGTATTTTGTTCAGACCTTGCTGACTCCTTCTGTTTGCTTCACCCCCCCCAGACAAACGTGTTGATGATTGGCCCTTGATGCAGTCTCCATTTCCAACACTGACTATAAGCACTATTTATCTCCTCACTGTCTGGCTGGGCCCCAAATGGATGAAGACAAGAGAGCCCTTCCAGTTACGTTTCCTGTTGGTTGTTTACAACTTTGGAATGGTTCTACTCAACTTCTTCATTTTCAAAGAGGTGTGTATGTCCTCTCGCAGGAGGGAATTCCTATTTAAGTCTGAGGGTGTCTACAGATTGCAAAATTAAAATGATCTTACATGGTCATGGTGTCTATTGAGGGTGAATGTTTTGCACAGACTTTTAAAGCTGAGTTTGCCTTTGATGTGAGTATTTCTTTAGCTAGGTATGTTCTGTTTGAGAATAAATGTACTAAATGAGTCTACAGAGAGAATTTGTGTACTAGCTATTCCAAGTTCTTAGATTTACGTTAGTGTAAATACTGGACAGATCAACTAAAATCTGTAAAGATTTAAGACTTGTAACTGATTTTTTTTTTCTTTTTAATAATCCTAAAGGGTGTCAGAATGTATCTTGTTAGAAATTGAGCTGTTTGCTGGTGCCTTCAATGTGTTTATCATTTTTAGAAATTCAGATGTCCATTGTCTGTAGTGAGGAGAAGTATCTTGTCTGTAAGTTATCTCTTAGAATAAGAATTAAAATGAACTGTGTCTTTAGATAAAAATAAAAGGATACAGTCTTCTAATATTTGGTTTGCAACGTTCTGAGTGTGTTAATTTTAAGAAATGTCAGTGTTGCTGCATTTCTCCTTTGTTAGGTTTTCTGTACATAAGAAATGACTAGTAACAATGCAGTGGATCAGCTCTTTAGCAGTGGCTAAGTGGGATTACTTAACAGTTTGGTAATCATTATTCAAGGATAGCTGTCCAGAATACAGCTGATGCTAAGGAGCAGTTTGTGCTGCTGTGACTTTGCTCATATGGATTGAGAGTCTTCTTCCTGGAAGACCTTGGATCATAAATTTGCAAAATCCGTTTCCAGAAGTAAGCAAATTAACAGAGCAGTTAAAATTACAGCATTGCAGAATTCTTTTTCTGGCTGGTTTGTTCTGTACTTTTGCCAGGAAAGCATGGCATATCTGAAGATGATCTGCATATTGACTCTTCCCCAGAGCTTCTATAATAAAACCCTTAACTGATTTCAGCCTTTTTTTAAGACATGGTTCAGTAAAATTTTAGCCATCGCACCTCAGTCGTCATTTTGTCTAAGTTGTTTCCTTGCACTCTTCAACTAAGTAGTGAAATACTACATACAACAGAATTTAATGCTGACACCGAAGGATAGTTGTGGGAATGGATGAAATCCAGTCATCTTGGCAAGTCAAAACCAAAACTCCTCTGAAATGAATTCTGCAGTGTTTTCTCCATGTCTGTCTTTTTCACTTACTCTCTTAAAATGGTTTGTTTTATCCATAAGCTGAATTACACGAGACTCATGGTCAATTAATTTTCAAACTTATGTTGCTCATAGGATAATGCATGTGTTTGTATGGCATTTCCAAATCACTGAATTAAAATAAAAATGAATGGGACTGCAAATACGCATTTGCTGCTGTTAGGCTGAAAGCTTGTCATTTTAGACACAAACAGATTCTAGTCTCCTGCTTTTTCAAATGTTAGGTTGTTATTCAATGGATGTTAAGGCCATAGATACAACATTTACAGGAAGTGTCTTTTCTTGGTCTTAGAGACTGATAGGAGGAAGGTGTTCAAGTTTCAGTTGTTCACTTTAACTAGGCAACTTCTGCTTCAATCTATGTGAGGTTTACAATACCAGTGTGCCACTGCTGTAATTCACATGAGTAATGTAATTGTTACAAGTAAAATGATACACAGTTTGTATGTTGCAAATGACTGTGAAGTTTCTAAGTGTTGCTGAGAACAGAACTTGAATGGGAAGTGCCTTTAAATGTTGTTTAAATAATCATCCTGATGGCAAGCTGTATTGTTCATCTGTGATAACTTAGGTTAAAATGGTAAGTCCATAAAGCACTGCTAGGTTGTCTAGTCCAAGACTCCAATACATCGGACTCAAATTCAGATTCAAATTGGGAGCAAATTTGGCTTAGAACATGCAGAAGTCCCAGATGCATAGCCCCTATTTTGCCACAAAATCTTGCATTTCTTATTCTACTGTGAGGCAGTCTGGTGAATACAGTTTACTGCCTTTTGTCAAGTGAACCTTGGTCAAATTACCCAGTAGATTGCAGCAGAGATTGGTTAGTTTCTGTAACAGTGTGGACTAAACTGTTCCCTGCTTTTCTCTGATATTATTAGATGTGCTTGTGCCTGTGTGGGACCACGCTGGAGAGTAGTGGTGTTCCAGCAGTTTGTAAATGGACTTGGATGATGCAGAAGTAGTTAAATGTCTATCTTAGGATCATTTCTGTGGACAGTTCTTTCACTTCCCTACTTTAACAAACATGCAGCAAATAAGTCCAGAGCTTCACAAGGTTTTGTGTGTTGGTTTTATCTGGATAACACCTGTCTCTGCATCTGGGTGCACTCCTAGTGCTGTGTGCAAGATGAGATACTGAAGTAAACTTGAGTTCAGTCTAAATAAGATGGAAGTCAGGTTAGCAGTAAGAATAGTCAGTGCCTACCCATGCTTATTTTGGAGATCTTTTTGTATCACCCCTTACTTTTACAGCTCACAATTTACAGGTTATGTTTGCTCCACTGCTGTCTTTTTTTGATCCTTAACAGGGTGGGATTACCCGGCTTTAAACAATCTTGGATCATAACATTTATGAATGTCAAGATTAGAAGTATTACTTGAACCTTATTCAGCTCTAGGCAAGTGTTCTTCTTTCCAGTGGGAACTTGCTCAAACGTCAAGTTTATCTTCTGTTCAGGTTATTGCAACATGCTTTATTTGGAGTGGCCCTACAGGAGCACTTCCTGTGTTTTAGGCCATTTCTGTTGGCATGAAATGGGGAACTTTTCTTCATCCAGTTTCTCTCAATATGTTTTATGGGTGCTCAGCATTGGCTGTTCGGGGTTGGTTTTTTTCTGGATTTTGATTGGCATACTGTTTTTAAGAATAGTAGATCCAAATTATCTAATCCCTGTCTCTTGGAGAGAGTTCTCTCTAATCCATCATGGGAACAGCGTTTTTGTCATTCATAGTGAAAGCAGTTAGGTATTTTCTGTCTCTGAAGTTAGAGCCATCAGAGAGAATACTCATGTTTGAATAGCTTAAGGTCATACTGGAATTATTACTAATTTGTACTGGACTCTAATTATCTGGACAGATACATGCAGGGAAAAAAGAGTGCTTTCTTTTTAATTTACAAGAAAAAAAATAGGTACTGTGTAACAACAGGTTGTTAGAACTAAATAGTGGCTTTCTTCAATGGTATTCTCAGGACTGATAAGGATACTTTAAATATTTCTGTTCAGGTAAGTCTGAGGTAGCAAGAAATTTGCTGATAATTGTTATGAATGTGTTTTATGTAGCATCTTTCCCCTCATATATGACTTTAATATTTTCAGCTGTTTTTGTCATCAAGAGCTCGAGGGTACAGCTATGTCTGCCAGACTGTGGATTATTCAGATAATGTTTATGAAGTTAGGGTGAGTATTTCTTTTTTGTATTTGTATATGAATGCATGTAATATATAGCACTACATGACGGTTTAAGTCTTGCCTGAAAATAGTGTTTCCAAAGTTCTGCTGTCAGCCATGTCTGTATCCCGTTATATTCTCACAGACCACTTCAGGTTTGACTACATTGCACGTAGCAGGTTTAACCAAAGTGCATCAGTGTATTTGCATTAACTTTCATCTGACTGCTACAAGTAGGGGTAGACTTAAAGATAACATCCTTGGCTTCATCTGCGGTTGTACAATCCAGGATAAACTTTGTATGCATACTTTGGTTCCTAGGCCTTGCTGAAGTTTATGATACCAGGGTAACCACAGTAAAGGTGTAGTGTTCTGGCTAGCAAGTAAGATTTGTCAGCATATACTGTGGTTGCATTTCACTCATACTGATAAGGCAACTTTTTGTCTCCTTTATACATGTTTGGCTTCATGAGGTCTTGCTGGCTTCTGGCAAATGTGTTATCAGTACATTTCATTGTAGAAGCTTAGATTTCAAATGTGTGGTTTTTGGAAAGCATTCAAATTAAAATCAAAGGGCAGATGCTTGTTAATTTCCGTACCGCTGTTGATTAGCTCATGTACTAAACCTTATCTTCCAGCAGAGCTGACACTTGAGAATCTCCCAGCTGTTCTTGCAAGTTTCACCTACAGATTAGAACATGTTCCTGAAAATGTAACGAAAGTGTGTTATAATCTAAATACATTTAATATTTATAACACAATTCGAAAAATGTCTGTCTACAAGGTGGGTGTTCATGGGTACTATTACTCAAAAGTTTGTGCCCGTGGCAGGGGTGGTAGTGAGAAGGATAGACTGGAGTCTTACACCTTATGTACAATAGCTGATATTGCAGAACAACCCTGTGCGTAGATTTTTATTGGCCTTATGGTAGTCAACTATCTTTCACCTTTGCCAATACTGTGCACTCGCTATTTCAGTCACTAGAATACTTCTGTTAATAATTTTGTTTAAAAACAAAATCTAGCCAAATATAACAATTACTTGACAGGTTGGTTTTTTTTTTCAATAGATAAGCAAAATAGAATGCCCTTGTACTTAGCTGGATGACATTGAGGACTGGTATGGCATGTATTGAAGGAATTTTTACATTAGCTAAGTACAAGAGATAATAACTTCTAGTATGCAAAAATTGTGTTTCATAGCCTCACTTTTAGGTGCATTGTTTTTGTGGGAGGCTGTGGAGGGGTCAGACCTGCTCAAAAGAATTATCTTCTGTTTTATTCATTATGACAAACTTGTGAATTTGCACAAACTTTATTTCTAAAGTTTTAACTTGTAACATGTTCAGTTTGCAACTGAGAAAGTTGAGGAAGCAGGGAAAATTGAGTTCTCTCAAGTTGTTGCAGCAGCTGTGTAGTATGTTCAGTCAAGACCCTTATCTTGATCATTATCTGGTAGTTCTATTGAATGAATTCTCAATTTAGGTAAATAAGTCGCAAGTAGAAAACTATACTATCCACAAGTGCACTGTCTAACTAAAGAGTCTGGGATACATTTCTGGCCTGCTTTACAGTGTATCATGCTCTGCATTTAGAAGTTATGTTGTTGGTTTTTGACACTGTAGGACAAAAAAATACCTTCAAAGCTCCTCAAGATTCCTTTCACTATCATTTTTCATAACATAAACCCATAAAAGCAATTTTTAAATGTAAGTAAATGTGGGCTGCTTTGCAGTTTTGAGTTTAGAATTGATAAACCTTGTAGCACACCTCTCATACCCTTTTAATAGATCTAGATACTAAATGTCTAGTATCTGTTGGCACCAGGTTATCTCTGAAGAGGAATGCTGTACTGCAACAGTAGAATTAATTACAAATGCAATACCTTTATTTGTAAGAGAACAAGTAAATAAGTCCTGTATTAGTCATATAAGGCAGACTGGGACTAACTCAAATGGAAACAGCACTGAGCCCAGAAAGCATTATGGAATATGCTCTGGAAAGCAATAGCTTCATATATGATTTTATTGTGGGGCTTAGAAAGCTGGAACAAATACTGAGAAATGTGAAACTAATTGCGTATGGTGGTCTAAATGGCAACATAGAAGCCCTGGTATGACCTCTTCCTATCTTTTTGGGAATGTGCCACTATGACATTGCCATGTAGTGGCCCCTTTTGACCAAAGCTCTGGCTCAAAATGAGGGGTCAAGAGACCATCTTTTATTCTTCAAGGGAGCACAGAGGGCTGGTAAACAGTTCCACAAAAAAAAAAGTTTGGCTATCCTGGGTGCCAGAGAATGTCTTTCCTCTCCTCTCCAACTCGCATTGTGTGTCAAGACAGTAAGCCAATGGTGATTTCAAGGCAACAGCGTAAGGCCATGTGGTGGCACTTCCCCTGTATAGTCTAGCAACACCAGCAGTCTGTAGTCATAGACCTCTTAAGTTAGACACAGCCTCTTTGTTTTGCCAGTTTTTAAGGGGTTATTCTTCCATTAATTTGTACATTTTCTTCAACTTTATCAAGCTTCTGGCTCTCAACAGACAATTAATTCTGTAGGTAGTTGGCACATAGTATGAAGAAGTTGGTCCTCCTACTTACTGTTTTGAACCTAGCCGCACCTGTTAATCTCATCCAGGCTCCTGTGGCTGTTCTACAAGAGGAATGGACGACTGGAGCAAGCAGGGATGGGAATTAGATTCCACAGTTGGAGAAATATTTGCAGAAATAAACTCCTTTCTAAAGTATTTATCTTCAGGGTGTAGTAGGTAGCCACCTTATGGACTGCTGGCAGGAAGTTGAGGAGGGTGTTTTGTATCTGGTTATATAAAAAAACCCAAAATATTCATAGTAGACAAGAAAGAAAAGAGGGAAGAAATCCCCAAGAAGGGATTTTGAAGGAGCTGCAGGTGCATCTTGGAAGAACTTTTTTGGTTATAGCTTAGGAGTCAAAATAATAAATGCAAAGGGCTGAGGTGTTAAATCCATGCTTTGTAGTACTCCTTTGGAAGCTCCAGTATTTGGAGTGAACAATTTCCTAACGCTGTCTAACTTAAGGCATGTTAGTGTCCGTGAGTAGTCAATTCCCCTTCTCCTTAAATTTGTGTGTCCTTATTTCCCAGGTCAAGGTTCATCTATTCTATTAGTATTTCTGAAGAGCTGAGAATTAGAAATCTGGGGCTGTACAAATTAGTGCGTAGTTTTAAGTGTGCTGATTGTAATCATAAAGCTGAGCTATTGTTGTCTTCTGTATTGTAATTGTAATCTGTGGTGTTTGTAATAAGGTCTAGAGCTTGAGTACTTTTCTCTTATAAAATAAATATGATAATAATTATCTTTAAACTTCTGTGAAGAGGGAACTTGACTTAACAAAATAGACTTCATGGTCCTGTAAACAAAATTCTATAACTGAAGCAGGGAGAAGAGTTCTCTTTAAAAGCCACTTTAATTTTTCATGTTACTGTTACCTTCTAAGAAGTACCTGTCCCTTCAAACCCTTTAGTGGATAACTCTCTCCAACCTGAAACAAGGAAGGAAGGTGCAGGAACAGAGTCTCATATTGAAACAGCCCTCTGCTCAAAAACCCTGCAGCAGGCAGAGGTCATGGGATTGAACCTCTTGTTGACCCCCTTAATCCTAGGCTGTAATGTAATCTTTCTGTGCCATCTGGTGTTTTAACAGACTTAGATTACCACCTATGAAAATTACCAGAAAAGGTATGGTTGTGACTAGTAGTATTAATTTCAGGAATACACCTTTTTAATGCATATTTTCTTTTAAGCTAAATCTTTATTTCATACTGTGTCCAAAGAAAGGCTACAGGATAGGTCCTAACTTCTGATGCTTTGCAGAAGTTTAATAGTAGCCATCCGCTCCTGGCATAGCTTGCATATCGGTGTATTGTTCTACTTTATTTCTGCCCTCTGTCACTGATTGCATGCATGTCTTTGGGTAAATGACTTAACATCTGTTTCATTTTTTTCTACATCTATAAGCTAATGATCAAAACATCTGCATAAGTCATTAGGAGCACTGAAATAGATCATCAGTACACAAAACCTATCAGGTTTGAGAATAAACGGTACTAAAATTTGATGATAGGAAGAGAGCAAAAGAGCTGTCAGGCAAAAAAATCTACAGGAACACAAAAATCAGAAGCTATAATCCTGCAAAGAAGTAGAGGCTATTTTTGTTCTTAAGTGATGGGAAGCATTTTGATCAAAAGTTGTAATTCCTTTCTGTGCAAGGCAGGTGGAATTCAAAAGAAGAGGAATGAGGTGTGTTAAATGACTTGTCCAGGAGCATATAGTGAACCTGTGGCATCTTGGGTGTAAAACATAAGATTTTTTGTTGGATTTTTCTCCACTTACCATATGACATGGAGCAAAATGTAAATTGGCTGTTTGTTTATTGGCTATTTGGCTTATTGTTCCACCGTTTCTTTAACAAAATGCACATCAGCTTTGTAAGAGATTTTATGGCAGTTTGCTTGTAACTGACCTGTTGATTCCTTAAAAGTTTCTGGGAAGGAGAGACCTCCAAAGAGCTTGAGTATTGTAGTGCTGGCTTGTCATTTTATGGATACAGTCCCAAGTGTTTATTGTTAACTCATGAGATGAAAAGATGCTTATCTTAAGTTATTTAAGAGATGCAGCTTTAGCAAAGATGTGTAAAAGATGCTGGACTGTTATGCTAATCCATGGGTGTGAGATAAAGCCTTGATGTGGGTGTTTAATAAACACCTGACTACCTGTCCCAGAGGCAGAACTGTACTGGATATTGAGCAACATGTATATTGATGGTTCTTGCAGCTTGCCTGTGTATCTGGGAACTCCAAGATTAGTGGGAGTCACTTTTCTCTCACTAAGCCTCTCTCCAGCTTTGGCAGATATTAGTATCTTTTCGTATAAAATTGACAAAATCTGCCTTCTCTTCCTGAGACCTGAAGTAGGCTAAATCACATCCAGAGAGTAAGAAGGGTTTTCATTAATGGATGCATAGCAGCCTGCAGTTTGGCAACAGGAAGTTGTGCAGTCCCTTTGGGAAACGGCAGAGTCTGCAATGCAGATCTGCAGCACTCTTCTGCTCCTGTGCTGCTTTTTTGCTTCTGCTGTAATCTCTCCTAAAATGTTCACCAGTCCAATTACGGCTGTGACAAACTTGCTTTGAGGAGAGATGTGTTCCTTTCCTGCTAGTTTGGAGAGGTAGAGGAAAACACCATGCAGGGCTGTAGCATTGCTCTGTATTGCTAGTTCTCCTGATTTCCCTTTCTCTCACTTGCCTAACACTATGTATGTATTTGGGAAGGGAACCTACTGCTGTCTTAATTTTTTCTCTTCTGTCTCCCTGGGGACTGAGGGGGTGGCAGGGTTATTTCACACCATGTTAAGGTAAGAAAGTCTTATTTGCCATCAGATGAGTCCTGAAAGACCAGGTGAACTTCTTACAAATAGGTGTGTTGTGACATTGCCTGCTCCTCTTTCTGATGGTGCCATTTCCAACTCTTTTTTTTTTTCTTTTTTTTTTTCTTCTTCTCTATGTGAGTCACCATCTGGGATATGTTCTGGTCCCACCCTTGCATAACAAGCTAGATGACTTAACAATGCCAGGAACTAGACTTGTTGCTATGCTTTGGAATCTGGAAGGGAGTCCCTACCACCACCATAGCCCCATATCATAGTATTAGCAAATTGCTACACAGAGCTTCTGGGCTTTACCTGGTACAGCAGTATCCTGATTTCAGCAGGAAGCCATGTTTATGTTGCATCTTGGGCAAGGTTCACTCTGATGGGTGGATTAGAAAAAGAATTTTGGGTGTGTAGCACTGCCCTGTTGGGTAGATGGGTTGTATCTCTGCAGCTTGTAGCTCCTGTGGTCTCATTTCTTCTGTTCCCTGAATGGCACAGAGCTACTGGGGGAATGCTGCTTTCTGGAGAGGGTTACTGAGCAGGCCAGAAGAAGCTGAGGGGAATACTGCTCTAAGGGATGTAAAATCTGTATTGTACCTGGCTTGCAAGAGTGGTTTGGTATCTTCCCACCGATATGTCTGTGGTACTGAAAGAATTTTATATAAGGTTTCAACCTTTGCAACTTCATTTTATCATAATGCTTCTGCCTCATTGTTCTGACCACATCAAAGTGTTGCCTCATTAGTATGGGAAGCCCTGTGGTAGTCTTCTCCCGCAAAGCTTAGGATGGAGAATGAGAACACAGACTCCCTATGTTTAACTGGTAAACTATTCAGAGATGCCAAAGCTTTTAGTTATGTTAGCTCTTTTTTACAATTGTGATTTGTGAGCAGTAGACTCAGAATAATACTTCCATGTCCAGAATAGATGAATGGAGTATTGTTTTTGTTGTTCTTATACCATCAGTTGTTTGATGACTCCACCTCAACATTTACTGGGATTGGGGGAAGGAAGAGGTATCTTTCTCTTGCAGCAGATCAGTGGAGAGAACTTTATTCCATTCAGCTTGGAATCACTAAAACTTCTGTGTTGTCTTTTTCTTATTGCAGATAGCTGCTGCTTTATGGTGGTATTATGTCTCTAAAGGAATTGAATATTTGGATACAGTATTCTTCATCCTGAGGAAGAAATTTAACCAAATTAGTTTCCTTCATGTCTATCACCATTTCACCATGTTCACCTTGTGGTGGATTGGTATTAAGTGGGTTGCAGGTGGACAAGGTGAGTTCCTTTCCTCCCCATACCCTTTTGACTGGACACAAGGGAGAATTATTATTGTTTGGGACCAATGGAAAAATGTTTTCGTAGACTTAAAGTTATAATGTGCAAGGCTGTTTAAATGGCACTGAAGCAGTGCCATAGCTTTAATGCATACAGTCTTCCTCTGTGGGAAACATGGGGGAGGAAAAGATAACAGGGCAATAATCTAATGAATTGCAAAACTTTTTTTTTTTTTTTTTTTCCTCATGGGCACCAATTGCAAGCCTGAAATTCTGTCTTCAAAATTATCCTGGTTCTGTATAAAATAGAAAGATGAACGTGTCTTGCCTAACTTAATTTTTGCAGATACAGAGAACTGCAAATCTAATTATGGGCCACAATCTGTGCAAATGTAATGAAGTTAATGGAGATATTATTTTGGCATTGTATCTGAGTTTGGTGTTTGCTTTCTTTTTTATTAAGAGGCATGTATAAAATTCTGAAACCTTCCCTTGAAGGTGAGCCAATAAACCTATTCATAATGACACAAGTCTATAATTCATTATCAGGCTTTTTTTTCCCCTGGCTTCCATTCTAGAGCCCCGATCAAAGAACGTCATTCCACTGTACTTGCCACATCCTCCTTTGCCTGCATTGTACCCTTGTTGCTGTTGTTTTGCTTTGTCCCTCTCAAATTATAAGCTCTACAGAGCTGGGGCTTCAGGAAGAGCACCGTTTTGTTTGTAATGTGCTTTGTAGGCTTAAGACACTGAAAATAACATATAGTAAACACCACACCAAACTAATATTTGGGGTGGGTTTTTTTTTCAAACCACACTAATATGTATTGCCCGGGCGTTTTATGGTCTCATTTACTATAGATATTTTGTACTGAGGGATTACTCTATATTCAAAAGAAGAAATATTTAAAATTAGTATCTGTGACTATCCTTGAATTTCGCCCAAGTAATCTGCAGGATGCAGGTACTCAACCAGACATTTTGTGATCTTTGTTGGCTACTGCACCCATAAAATGAGTTTATTGGAGACTGGATGCTTACTTGTAGTCCTACTTAGAAATACCCTGGATATCTCAAAATGCCCTCTCCATTGTTGCCTTTTCAGACTTTTCATGCTGAATATCAGCAGTTTTCAATACAACAGTTGCAACTATTTCCAAATTTATTTCAAGTTTTGGTGTTCTTGCACTGCCTCTTAGTTTCTAGCCCCTGCAAAAGGAAAAGCAACAGTTGCTCTTCTGCATTTATGTAGTGCTACTGCATAAATGTGGATAGATCTATGTTCTTCTGTTTTCTAGTTGATAGCACATTGCTTACATAGACAGATCTATTATAAACTAGACCCTATTATAACTAACTGGGTCTAGACCACATGGGCATCTGAGCTGTTTGATGTCAGCAGTTATTGTCTGTATTGTCCTAATTTTATACATTAGAGCCTTTTTGAGCCTCTCTGGCAGTGTAAGAATACCTTAACAAGGTATAATTTGTTTCTGTTAAATGGCTGCTAATCTTGACAGAGCTAAGAGATCTTAATACAAATGAGAACTGTCATCTTCATTTCCAGCATGGATCATTCTGGAAAAAGTTATACAATGTGTTTATACATTTAAGAATGCTGGATATTTTAAGTCATAAACAAGGAAACTAAAGTGGAGCAATTTAGACAAACTCACTCAGCAATGCCCAATTGCTTTGTATGACTTTTTGGCCTATTTATTCAGGCTTCCACATGAGTTTCTTGACTTCTTGCTGAGAAGTGAACCTTCTACATTTAAATACAGTTTAGAAGACTTAAGTTCAGAACCTGATAGTTTATATTTTACATTGTCAAATACAGCTTTTAATAATCCTTTAGCAAAAGAATTGCAGTTATACTACAATAACTAATGTGGACTCCATGTGATTTATGTCTGTTCAACAAAAATCTTAGGAAAAGTTTTTGCATAAGTAGTTCCATGAAAGATGTGACATGCTACTTGCATGAACAGCTGTCTGTGTCAGCACATGTTGGCAGTCAGGTCTATACTGTACTATCGAATATTTCAGAGATGGAGTCCTGGCATGTCCTGTGCTTTATAATTTTTACTACCACGTGAATAATACTAGAAAAGACTTCTCTCTCATTTTCAAAATTACATTACAATCTTCCCTTCTGTTCCTGCACAGCTTTTTTCGGAGCTCAGATGAATGCATTTATTCATGTCATTATGTACATGTATTATGGATTAGCTGCCTGTGGCCCTAAATTTCAGAAATACCTGTGGTGGAAACGATACTTGACCATACTGCAACTGGTAAGTAAAATTTCTCCTTTTATCTCAGAAGGTATTGTCTCTGAGTGGATTTGCATTTGCAGAGCTTTGGAACAGATGCTGCTCCTTCCAAAAGTTCTTCACTGTCTGATACTCACAGCTCAAGTTAGAATGCTTCCTGGAGGTGGAAGTATTTATTTCATTTCTCAAAATAAAAGCAGCATAGATAAGAGATATGTGAGTAAGGTCTACTACTACTTTACTGGTTGTTTCAACTGAATTGCAAAAACCTGTAAAATCCAGATCTCTTAATGTCTTCTCATTTTCCTATTTCGGAAAACTGGTGCCAGGTACTGCAATAGATTTGATGTTCCTGGTCAAGCCTATGTGTTCATGCATGATGTGACAGCCAAATACAGCTTCCCTACCACCTCCCGATTTAGCAGTTTTTGTAACTTAATACATTGGTATACATTGGTGCAGTCAGACCTACAGAATATATTCAGACCTTTTTGATTCTGTATTTTCTGTCTTTCAGGTGCAGTTCCATGTGACTATTGGCCACACAGCCTTGTCTATTTATATTGATTGTCCTTTCCCTAAATGGATGCACTGGGGTGTAATTTTCTATGCTGTCACCTTCATTTTCCTGTTTGGTAACTTCTACTATCGGACATATAAGCTGCCCAAGGAATCCATAAAGAATGGCAAAATAGCAAATGGTGCTGTTGCAAATGGAGTAAGCAAACCAGAAAATAATGCAGTGGTGGAAAATGGAAAAAAGCAGAAAAAGGGAAAAGCAAAAGGAGAGTAACTTGATCCAGGCCTTAACCATTGTTGGCAGTGAGGAACCTCCAGTTTGGTTTATAAAAGGAAGAAAAAACCACTATCTGTACCAATTAACCTTAGGTTACTGAAGAGCTAGAACACAGATATTTTCATTATTTATGAGGATTGTTTTAAGAACAACACTAAAGTTGAATTTCTATTGTAATTATGTAATTATCATGCATACGATCTCTGTGTAAACTTGTAGACTGCTGGTGTTGGTGAATGTATGGAAGAATTGCAGTTGATTCCATGTTTAGCAGTCCAAAAGTTAATACTACCATTGATACAGGCAGTTTTGTTGGCACCCACATTTCTTTGGGGGAGGGAGGGGAAGGAAGTAGCATTTGGATACTTGTGTTTTCTTTCCAGAAAATTATTAAATTTCAAATTATGACGTATTATCTAATCAGAATGCGCAACTTTTCTTGTCCTCCTTGGAGAGTATCTTCAGACACTTTACATTTATGTGCTGTCAGAACAGTGTTTGACTTTTCAGACATTACTTGATTTAATTGAGTGTCTGTTACAGTTTGTTTGGTTTTTTTCTTGTGTGGAAATATACCTACCTCTTCATCTGCTGAAAAGAATATTGAGCATTAAATAACTGGTTTCTGAAACATGGAGTCCTCTAATATAAATATCCGTTAACACTAATTCAGAAGAAAATATGATTTCCTGTGGGAGTAAAAGGGATTTGGGGCGGTACTTTTTGGTCAAGTCATCAATAACCTTTTTCATTGTAAACTTAAATTTTGGAGTGGTACTTTTAATATAACTAAGTGAAGAAAACATTTTTAAGAATGTATAAATATGAAACAATGCATTGTTTGAAGCAAGCAGTAAAAGTAGGCCTGCTGCTTGTTATCCATGACCTGCATTAAACCTGTGGTACTGACTGATAACTGAAAATGGTAAGGTAATATGGTGGAGAGAAAACAACAATATGTGATTCCATTGAGAAATGCTGTGTGTATGGCTAGTCATGCTAACCACAAGACAGTCACTTTACTGGGAGAGAGAATTTGGTTAAAAAGTACTAAATACAGCAAACAAAATGTTGAAAATGCTGCTACTGCTTGATACCCATCAAAACTCTATTTGGCTTTTTTTGGTTTCATATTTAGACACTAGCAGCCGAAGTATTGCTAGTAGTCAGGCCACCATTTTAATATCAAAGTCAGAGATGGGCTTCTGGAACTCTATTCCCGAAATATTCTCTGCACTTTTCAACCTAATTGACAAAGTGATTCTGCTAATCTTTTTTTATTCAAAACTGCTAAAATAAGTAGAAGCCTTTTAGATGGCTTTTCATCTTGCGTGATAGATCAATGGACTTCTTATTGCTCCTTTTGTGAAGAAAATATGGAAAGAGTTATTCTCCTTCCAAATAATGTGATTGCTAAGAGAGATGTTTTGAGCTCCTCAGCATGCAATGAGTGTAAGACAGGAGTAGAATTAGAAACCATATCCCGAACTCCCGTGTTCCGTGCTTATCAGTGCAAGAGCTGCATTGTTGCTGTCTAAATGCATTCCTCCCAGCTCTTGTCAAAAACATATTCATAGTCAGTGACAAACTTGCATCTGGCAAGTGACACCATTGTTGCAGGAAAAAAGTACGTGGAGCTGTAGGTGTAAAGTATGTGACACGTTCAATAGTTTTTGCATCTTGATTATCCATTTGTCTGTTTATAATATGCAAACAGGTCACATCATCTGTGTCTCAGGTTTGTCTCTTGTCTATACTAAAAACTGTCTAAACCCAAAAAACAGGTCCTAGGGAAAAAAAGGTTGGATTTAGTCTGTTATATTAAGAAATAATTCCTAATGCTGGCGTTGATTCAGCTGGAAGATAGATAGTTCATCCATAATCTCCACCACTGTGGATTTTACAGCAGAATATAGGATTGTGAAAGAATGTCTCTGCTGAACTGTAATGCATGTGACCATTAAGTTTCCTATATGCTGTGTCTTGTGATTCTTCCAGCCTTTGTACTGATGCTTTTTGCATTTGCATCAATCTGTATTTAGGTAGTGTGGCATGGGGAGGAGCAATAGTGGTCTACCCTTCTTTCTTGGAGAGATGCCACTACTGTTAACCAAGCCAAAATGCTGGCTGACTGGGTAACTTGGAATAGCTAAAGGAGCAAATAACTACAAAGCAAGCTAGCAGATTTACAGCACGCCTGCTACTCCAAGGTGATGGCTTGTGTGAATACACTTACCCTACTGTAAATTCAAGGTAGCTTATCCCACTTTGATTAAAGGGTAGCTTCTTTCTATTTGCCATGGGATGCGGGCAGCTAACTTGCAAATCTGTATCATTCCTTGTATTGTGTTAAATTGGTTGTTTGCTCTGTCTTTCTTTAGGTAAGCCAGATCAGATAAACTGATACTCTTAATGGGATCTAGCTCTGAAAGGGCATACTGAGAAGTATTCCAGTACAGGTTCAATTATGCCTTTGCTACACTTTGTAAAGTAAGAATTACGTCTTGCATGATGGCAGATATTTAAATAACTGAAAGTCAAATCTTCTCTCCCCTTGTCATGCATGGAAGCTGCTTAAAGTTGATAACCACTTGAACCTTATTGGCAGAACTTGAGTAGAATCCTACCCTCGAACTTTTGGTAACTTTTAAGAAAAAATGAAACAATGCATTGTGAGAATGCATGCATACATACGCATCATGTTTTACCCCTGTGGGTAAAACCAGTTTGAGAGATTGGCATTTCATGGGGAAAAAAAAAATCAGTTATTAAATTGCTGGAACACTGCTGTTTTGAGTCCATCTTCTGCAATATGGCTTTACTAGGTCTATTTATGATATATTTGATTGTTCATGTGACTTGAGTCCCATTATGATCTTGAGTATAATGGCCTTATTAAATGTGCATTTTTGTAGGCGTGGTCTTGAGTGCAATACTTCTGGTTCTGACTATGCAGCCAGACTCACAGAATACAGGGCTGAACTTGTACGGCTTTTTCTTTTTCAAAATTTGAGGCAATGATGCACATGTGAGATACTGCCAGATTTATTAAAGTCATCAAGTCCAAGGCACCTCCAGAATTTTGCCATGAAAGTAATAGAATATAGGTACAAATGTTTGTGTTTGCTGTACGCAGAACTGAAATTTAAATTATATCTACTTTGCATGGTTTGGTTTGGGTTTTTTTTTTTTCTAAATGCTTCCAATTTATTTAAAAGTGAAATTGAAACCATTTGGAACTTTTCTTTTTTGCCAATGAAAGATACTTTTTTGCTAACAGTTCTGAAGCTCTTGGACCAGAGTCTCATAATTATTTGATGCCATATAAGTAATACCATTTCATTTAGCCTCATCTCTAGCAGTGACAGTTGTTGGATTCTTTTAGTACTTTGTCAGTGTAAAATAAACACAAATTATCTATATGTGTGTGTGTGTGTATGTGTACACATACATAGTGTATGTGTGTGTATATATATATATGGGTTCTTAGCAGGTTCTTTCTATAGCTGAAGTAAATTACATTTCTTTAATGTGAAGTTGGCAGGAGCTAATAGAACAGTTCTTACAGCTTGAGCAGTACAATGAAGCAGTTTTCATTGATCCATAGATCCAATATCGGTCTTGCAGTCATAAATAGTATTTGTCAGTCATTTTAGACATAGGATGGCAGACAAGCCAGAGCCATTTCTCCCAGTGTAATACATATTTTGAGGCATCAATTATAGATTCTAAGGGGAGGGACCTCAACTCAGAGGAGCTGAGGAATTATGCTGTTTTATAGTAGGGATTATTTTAAGAAACAATAGGAGTAACTTGCTCCAGGTAAGTCTTTGAAGTCATTATGATCAAATTCTCTGTTTAACAAAATGCTTTTTTAATAAATAAATAAGTAAATGTTTCTCTGTAGGTTCAAAAGCATGGCCTATTTGATTATATGACCATTAACTACTTCCAGCTCCAGATCAGGAGAAAAAGATGAAGGCAAAATAAAAATGCTGCACATTTTTTTTTTTTAGGTTAACCTTAGGGCACGTTTCTTCAGAGTAAGCACTTGACCTTCATGTGCTGGGGAGGCAGGTAAGAAAGGAGTAAATAGCTATTGTGCTGAAAGGTCTCACTCCTTAAATAGCTTATGAGCACACTTGCTATTTCATAAAAACTTGAGTAAAATTGTTTATGGTGCATAAAGTTAAACCTTGCATGAAGTTAGTGTGGGATGAGACTCATAATGTTTAAACAGGTATTTAAAATTAGATCTGTTTCAGTTAAAATTGAAGAGAATGGGGAGCTTATTAAGTATCTGGATAGTGTATTTGTCTTGGTTAGAAGCACAGACTAATCTAATTCGGCACCTAAAGCAAGTCACCCATATGACATCTCATTGCGTCATGGTTTTATGAGTTGGCCTCTTTGCTAACGTAAGCAGTCGGAGCTCCATGGAGATCAGTGGGGTGTCTCCCATTTACCTCAGAAGAGTACGTTTAACCCTAAAGAACAGAGAAAATACTTGCTTTCTGCCAATACCCCAGGAGGATGAGGGAAATGTATGGTTCAGAATGCTGCTTTTGCATAAGGTGTTCATGCTTTTGTAAACAATAAAAATAAACATTACTTTTTTCGTGCTGTTTGAGTTTGGTTTTATACATTCCGTAGAATATTCTTCTGTGTCCCATCTTGCTTCAGGATGCTTGCTGATTTTACTGTGTTGCGCAGGTTGTGTTGATGTAATCTGTTATAGTGCCCAAAAGTTTGAGAAAAACATTTTTGTGGCACATCCTCCCATTTTAAGGTTATGAGTACTTTCTAATTTTGGATATTGCCTCAAAATGGTAGTCTAGTGTCTTTGAAGTCATCCTTCGGGAGCTGACTGAAAATAGGATGTCCACTTAAAAAACAAGTCTCCTGGGATATACTCTGGCTGTACAGCACATGTAACAGCGTCAGATTTGGTCCAATAATGGTTCTAGCTAATAAACTGTCTCAATCAATCATCTGTTTTGAGAAGGTGGTGGTAAGAGACTCTGCACGCTTTACACAAGGCTCCAGATTGTTTTGTCTTGGAAGTATTAACAGTTAGGAATACAACTGGCCACGTGGTTTAGTTTTTGCTGGGTACCACATTGTGTTAATGTGATGTCTCATCCCAGAGAATCTGGAGCACTTCTGGCAGTAGGTGTAATTCATGGTTACATGTTGCTGTTTTACAATAAGTTCCTTCCTAGCCAGTGCACCAGGTATGATCACTGTAATCAACCTTATAATACCGAGTTGCACCCATGTTGCACTCCTAGCACCTAAGTGTGAATAGCTACTGCGGATGTCAGCTAGTAGAGAATCAAGTCTGCCATCATAGCAAAATATGGTGTGGACAATTATCTCTTGCATAATTTGCAGCTGTTGCTTCAATCCATTGCTTACACCCTCCCTGGAATCAGAAAATACACCAAGTGTTCAGAGCAGGATTTGTCCCTAGATGATTAACCCATGCTGGTGGTAGGCACCCTGTCCGGACATCTTTTCCATAATACTTAATCCCCACCAGTAATTAAAAATAAGCACACGTGATCAAGTTAGATTCATCAGATGATTGGATAGAATAGACTGGATCCTCTGTTTTGCATGTTGGGTTTTCT